AGTGAGCAGCAAGGAACCGACTGGGTCTCAGCTTCCTTCCTGCCCTGCGCTTGGCTGAGGGACCCTGCGACCAGCTCAGGAGGTCAGAGGTGGCCATGGGCCCAGCTTTGCCAGATTTCCCTGCCAAAGGGGGCAGTTCAGGGAAAGACACAGCCTGGGTGAGCCTGAGCTTTACTCCTGCATCTGAGGGAGCTGTGGACATCAGCGTGTGCCTGACTCATAACGGTGTGGGTCAGCTGTGGATGCTCAGTGTTCTTAAGCAGCCCAGCTGTATCTCTGAGGCTGTATTCACAATTTGTGAGGCTGACATACCCTGAGGATCATGGCATCTCTCACTTTGCTCTCACACCCTTGCTCACAGTCTCTGAGGAATGTCTTGAGCCCTGTGCCCACGTCCTCGCTCATGTGCTGGAGTCACTTTTGTGCCTTTTGGTGTCAGGGCTCTTGGGGCAAAACGTGCCTGGACACTGCCACACATGTAATGCCTTTCTGCGGTGCACACTGGAGGATGCAGAACTGGCTGGGTCTGCGATGCTTTATGAAGCTGCTCTGACCTATTTCAGCAGCAGGGGAACTCTTCTCACCTGGTCTAACCCTTAGAGCAGCATAGAGTGACCTGGGGATAAGTTTTTGTTTCTGCTTTCTATCCCAAGTCCTTTCCTTTCCATGGAAAGAGCAGAAGTGGTCCTTCAGAGCTGATTGACCCCTGCGCCTGCTGTGTTTCTTTTCCCTTTTTGTGGATGAGCAAGTACCCCTTTAGGGATGAGCGTCTCTTTGCTCCTCCCATTTTACAGCTCATAGCGGGGTGCCCAGGACACCCCACAGTTGTGGAGAGCAGCTGGCACAAGAGAAATAAGTCCTGAGGCTGCAGCAAAGATTTTGGGTCATTTGCAGTGGCTCAGTGGGAGCTTGCAGAGGCAAAAAGCAGCTGGAGATGTGCTCTGCAGTTCTGTGCTGGTTTGCAGATTCCTCAGGAGTGGTCCTGGGTCATCTGGCTTCCACCAAGAGTGCTCCTCTTCTCTCCACAGATCACATCCCAGGTGCTGTCTGTCTGTCTGTCTGTGGTGGGTTCCAGAGCAAGGAGGCCTCTCCGTGCCATCGCTGCACGTTGATTTCAGCCTGTGGCACCCACGTTGGGACACATGGATGCTCCAGGAAACAGCTGTGAACCCTGGGGCTGGAATAAAGATTCCAAAAACAATGCAGAAAAGAAAAGCAGAGGTAAGTCTGAGTTTGTGCAGGAAATTCTCAGGAAACACACCTGCTAAGGTGAAGCTGGGACCATCCGGTGAGGTTTATTTTGGATGCTACTCTGCAGCACCCATTTTGGAGCAGCCAGTGTGCTTCCCATGGATGCTCGCTGCTGTCCTGAGCCCTTTATAAGCTCAGGAGCCCCTGCTACAAGGCAGCATAGTGCAGAACTAAAATGGCGTGGTTTTGTAGGAGGGAGCAGGGGCTTTGTACCAGGGAGCTGCAGAGCATCCTGGGCACAGCATGGCAAGATGGGAAGATCCACTGCGTGTCTGCGTTGGCTCCACAAAACTGCACGGGGGCACAGCATCTCTAGCAAGAAAACCTCTGCAACTCATTCTGCTCCTTTATCTTTTTTCAGAAATGACACGGTCCAGCTCATTTTGGCCATGGGACACAGCAGCTCTGACAGCATCCCAGTGCTGCGGCATCCCGCTGCTGCCTGTCTGTGGGGCCAGGGCTGATCCAGAGCAAGGCAGCAGCTTGGTGCTGCAGTGGGAAGCGGAGGTGTGTGGAGTGCTGTAGGTGTGCTGGCTGTGCCGCGTCGCTGTGGGGTAGAGCTGGTGCTGCAGTGAACCCTTGTGGGATGTTGGTGGTGCCTGGGGTTGGAGGGCTGTGCAAGCTGGCTATCGCAGGGCTGGGGAAAGCAGGGATGATGAAGGGGATAATGGAGAGAGATGGCTTTGGTGGGGTGCCTGATTTTTTCGGTGCTCTGGAGGGTTGCTGAAGTTCCTCAGGAAGCGCAGCATCTCTCCCTTGTAAACGTTTGGGGCTGAGGCAGTGGGGTGAGTGGAATGGCACAGCTGGGTCTGGGAATGATGG